GAAAGCGCCCGCGGTTGCGTGTCTGTCCGCGGCCTGCTTTCTGTAAGAGCCGCCTCGCTAATTGCCTTAACGTTTTTAACGGGATTTCAGTGTGTCCTGCGCGGGGTTGTGGGGAGTGTGGTATCAGGCTCGGGGGTCTTGGGCGACCACGGCAGAACCTAGGTTTGTTCTTAAACCAGCCCTGCTTCGTAGGCATGTGCCTTTTATTTTGTTTTGCTTCAGAAAAGGTCTTGAAAAATACATGAGAAAGGGGGGAGAGTAAATGAGAGGTGTTTGTTTCAAGCAGCTGTAATGCATGATGTTGATTTACGTCTCACTTGCGGGTTACATTTCTGGTGTAATTTGCTCCCCCCCATCGCAGCAATCTAAGCTTTTCCCCAGGGAGGGCTGGTGTGGAAATCCAGCGTGCAATGTGTTTGTCTTGCTGCTCAGATTCCTTTCTCAGTTGCATGCTATGGGTTTCTCAAATAGGCAGCTAATGTTAGAAGAGGCACATTACATTTCTTCACATGTGTATTATTATAATTAATTTTCTTGTAATTGTGTGGAAAGCTATAAGTATTATCATATCTCAAAGACCTGAGAATATCTGAATAATAATGTGGAAGAATCCTTCAGTGGCAGATTTGGAAATATATTGAGTTTTCAGTGAGTCATAAGAAAACAGACTATTTATCTTGTATAGGGTCAACTCTATGGGTGAGAGAATTTTAAGAGATATTCATTCAATTAATTCCAAAGTACTGAATTCAATCCAAGTACTTCAAACACTTGACACATCTTGAAGTGCAGTATTCAAACTTGGATAGAATACTCCAGCTGAATTCTAAACAGTAGTGACTAGTATGGAAGATTTATATGCTATCAAAGCTTTACTTGCGTTTACATATCTGGTGTTGTTTTCCCAAATCTGAGTTCTTTACCTGGTCTGCAAGGAGCTGAAACACAGGGTCAGGGTAGTTCTGTATTACAGATTTATGCAAAGCTGGGAGCTGGGTGATATTCCACAGAGCTAACAGCTCTGTACACGAACAACAGTGTATGTATCCCGTTACATGATTAAGAGAAACCCACCCAAGTTTACACTTGCTGGTTCATTAATACTACATTCAGGATGTAGTATTAAACCCTTGAGGGTGTGGGGTGTGGTAAGTCTTCTTGGTCCTTAACTGACTCTGTGGTTTCTATCTCCATCTCTTCCCCCGGTTTTGTTATTTGGCTGAGGCCAGTTCCTCCTGGCACTCATCTTGTGGCCTTTGTTGAAACAGGAAGTTCTTTGTTGGTTTTGTCTTATCTTGTATCCCGGGGTTTGGTAGTTGAAAGAGAATCATCCTATATAAGATAAGCTTATAAAATTAGTAGTTATTTACACTATTTATCATTATCCAATTGATTTTCCAGACTTTTCAGTCATCAGTATGGATGGTGTGCTGTCAGCATATTCTGTTTCTGCTCCAGCTTAGATTCCTGCTCTTATCTGCACCACAATAATCTATCAAGTTGTTCCCCTTTCAGTTTATTGTTTTTGTTTAAATTGAAGAGCTTGCATTTCTTATTAAAGTACCTTTCCTATTTTGTTTCTTATGTTTCTCTGATTAGTAAAGACTGGATTAGAATTCAGAATTTTCTTCCATCATGTTTTAATCTTCTTGCAGGTTCCTGTCATCTGTAATGTTAATGAAGAAAAGCTTAAGCATTAAATAATAGTAGACTTAGGAGGTTTCTTTGTGGACCTTCAATTGCCTCCTGTTTTTCTGCATGACCTTGCAGCCAAGATGAAAAGTAGTGTCAATTGAACATTAAATTGGACCTGTGCCACAAACTAATTCCTTATCATGTAGGGAAGCAAGTTTCCTGACTCTGATTAGGACAAGCCTGTGTACTTCCAAGGCTGGCAGGAGACAATGTTCTGTGCTTTTATTTTGTGCTTTGATTTTCAGCAGCAACCTGTTTGTTCCACAGATGTGCAAGGCTCTACTGAAATTGATGTGGAGAAGTCTGTCCTTGGTAAATAATATTTGAAGATATATTTGGGCCACACAGTAATGCCTGTCTTGGCTCCTTTCTCCTTCCCCTTCGCCCCCTAAATTTACCTCATCTGAGTCTTTGGTCTTTCACAGGTTGAGAAGACCATAGCAAGAAGTACTGCTCAGCTCTTGACACCTTGTACTACAGAGCATTTTCTTCATTCACCAGATAGAACCTCTAAAAAATTTATAAGCTAAATACAAAATCCCTTGTGTAATATGCCACATCTATCTCTTACTTCGGACTTTTTTTCTTTGCATCTCACTATACTGTTTGAGCATTTTCCTGATGTGTAAATTAGATCTGTATGACAGTGTGTTAACTAAAATTAGTCAGTCTTTACAGTTCCCTCTCAGGAGGTCTTCCTTCCCTGCTGATGGAGGCTGAGCTTTCAGCAGAGCAGGGAAGCTTTTCTCAGCCCACCTGTCTCTAGCTTCATGGTAGCACAAACTAGAAAGCATCTGGTGTCACATAGTTACCCATTCTAAACTCCCAGATTTCACACCATGTGACAACAACTAGGAGGAAAAGGGAGTCTCCTAAGAGTGTTGAGTTTTCTTGCATCTTCAAAAGAAGACTTAAACTGAGTAGCTGTTAAAATTCTCCAGGAAAGACAACAGGAAGGGAAAAGTTGACTTTCTCAGCTGCTTCACAGCATTGATAAATCCCATCCTGAATTATCTCAGTGAGATTAGGTAACTTCTCATCAGAATGGCAACAGCATCTGAGGCATAGATCCAATTGTTGTTTAATAAGGCCCACAACTAAATAGGAACGTATGTTAAAGGTGGAATGATCCTACCAGATGACCATGTTTGTTCCCATTAAGGAAAACTCTTGATTTTCCCTTTAAAGAAAAATCTTGATCCACCAGATATTTTTAGTCTTTTGTGCATGTGCCTTGAATCTCATTGTAATTTGCTTTAAATTGCAGTAGGCTTTTTTTTTTCCTTTGCAATGATTTTGAATGGGCTTTCCAGCTATTTTTGAATTTTTAGGGACATTAACTCATTGTGAAGAGGCAAGGCTTCTGGAGACACTGAATAAATTGATTTTTTTTTTTTATTCTGCTGGTATGTAGAAAGACTATACAACTTGTGAGTTGTAGTATCAAAATAGCACAAATTATAGAGAGTAGAAATGTCTTGTGTATCTCAAAGCTATTACAAGGCCTAAGGATTACGCTGGTGCTTTAGAATTTGCTCCCTCCATCCCTTTTCTTTTTTTATAAGGCAATTTAGGTAATAGCATAGAGGTATTTTTGTTCTGCTGTTTCTACTGCTCTTGTGAACTGGAATAGTTAATGTTTTCAGTGCTGCAATTTAGGAATGCTGTGAATATTTGAAATTAATTCAGACATGATTAAAAAGACCAGTCAGTTTTCTCTTGAATTTTCCTAGTTAAAAAAAAGAGAGAGAGAAAGGAGACTTCATAAAGTAGTGGCAGAGAATGCTTTTTAATTATTTGCCAGGTTCATGGGGGAAGGACAATCAATACTGTAGTAAAGAAAAGCTCAGTTAGGTGCAAGGAAAAGCTTTGTGAGAGGGTGATGCATTGGAGCAGGAGCCCTGCTGAGGTTAAGGAACCTACTTCAGTGGAAGCTGTTAAGACCACTCTGGAGGCTGTCTAGATGTGAGCTGGCCTCACAGTGGATGGCTAGGACTAAATGGTTGCTTGAGGTGCTTTCTAGCTGTTCCTATAGTTATTAAAATAACTTCTCATGCACTCAGGTAGTTGCAAAGTTCCTGCTCCTCTTTTGTAAGCCCTTGTGCCTTAGTTGAGACAGAGTAGTGTGCCCAAGTGTGTTCTGTTGAAAATTCAAGGAAATAACTATTTAATGATTCTGGTTTAGACTAAAACATTCATTATCATGAATTATGATGATAACCTTTGTATTTATCATGACTTGAGCATATGTACATGGTTGGGTATTGCAAGTCCAATGTTCTAGCTCTGTGGTGAGGTAGTGAACATAGCCTGTGTTCATCCTTGTTTTGTGGGTTATCCTCGCTCTTGTCCTAGTTACGGTGATAGTGTGTTGCCCTTGCTGACTGATCCAGGTGTTCGCCATTTTGAGATAAAGCAAAAATGATTATGCTACTGGATACAGCTGATAAAATGCAAAAACATGAATAGTAACTTTAACAATACATTGAAACTAAGTATTTTTACTTCTTGCTAACACTGCATTAATTTAATTCTTACTTCTGAAGCCCAAGAATTCCTAGTTATTCTCTTTTTTATGGCATATTCATAAATATATATGGGGGATAAATTTCTCCCCTACTGCTGTAGGGGAGAAATTTATTACAATAAGTTTGTGTTGTTTTTAAGGCTATGCTTTATTTGTAAAGAACCCAAAATATCATAATGTACCTGAACTGTATATTACTTGGAGTATGGCTCTGTGTGCAGCACAGGTGACTTGTTTGTTTTTTTCTGGGAAGTAATGTAATTTTTCTGTACCATGTGACATAATGAGTGGTTATTCAATTACAAGGAAAACATTTTAAGCTAAGTTAAAACAGGAGTATTCTAATCTAGGTGCTTTTGGTCTCAGGTAGCAAACAAGAGACAAACAAGCAGTTATGTATTAATATAGGCTAAACCAATACTCTCTTTCTTATTTTAGGGGCCTGTGGGATTTAAGAATATCTCTTCTAAGAAAATTTGCTGCTTCTACAGCCTTCCATCTTAGTGTGAGATTGATGATTTCACTTGAAATACCTATACTGAAGAGACTAACAGTAGGCGAGGTGTAATTGCTTTCTAAAAATGGTCAAAGTTCAGCAGTCTGTAACAGCTGATAGGATACCCAAGAAAAAGCCATATATTTGTGACAGTTGCTATAAACAGTTCGAAACTCCATCAAAGTTAGCTAGGCATTATCTGATACATACTGGTCAAAAGCCATTTGAATGTCAAGTATGCCATAAAACATTTAGGCAGTTAGTCCACCTGGAGAGGCATCAGTTAACCCATAACCTGCCTTTTAAATGTATTGTTTGTTGTAGAAACTTCAAAAACTTAGTCACTTTCTTGAAGCATCAGCAGCTTCATAATGAAACTTCTGAGAATGATACCAAGCAAGCAGAAAACTCTGTGAAGTCTGAGGAAGACAGGGTCACTTGTGGCATATTTCAATGTTCTATGTGCTGGAAATCTTTTACAACTGAAGAGAGGTGGACGCTGCATCAGTGTCTGAAGGCCGATCATCTACTTGGTGCCAGGAGGAGAAAGAAAACTCATGCTTGTGAATCATGTAACAAGACATTTCCATCAAGATCTAAGCTAGAAAGACACTTTCTTATTCACACTGGCCAGAAACCTTTTAAGTGTTCTTCATGTGGTAAATCTTTCAGACAGTCAACACACTTGAAAATCCATCAGCTTACACACACAGAAGAAAGGCCTTTTCAGTGCTGCTTTTGTCAGAAGAGGTTTAAAATACAGAGCAAACTCATGAAGCACAAACAGCTCCATGCCAGAAATAAGATTTTTCCTAATATTCTATACAAAGCAAAGACTCTTAAATATCCCAGACTACACAACATGTTGGAAGGAAAGAGGGGTAGTTTTGAGAATGTTGACACTTACGAGGCACAGGAGAATGACCCGCACGATGTTCACTCGATTTATATTGTACCATTTCAGTGCCCAGCATGTGAGCAGTGTTTTGAAACAGAGCAGGTTCTAAATATCCACAAATGTTATCTGAAAGATGGCAAAAGTTCAAATAATGGTCCAACAGCCTGCAGCCACACAGTCAGCATGAGAAAGAAGATCCTGATGAAGCTGAAGCATACTGGAGGAAAGGCAACAGATTTTTCTCTGACTGACAGAAAAAATAAAAAATCAGGTCACTTTAAACGCCCTGACCTGGTTGCAGCTAGAGATCGGCGTTCTGATCAGTGTGCTTCCACTAAACCTTTCAAGGATTGCTGTAGCAGGCTTGACATGCACAAGGCACTTCGTAATCAGATGAAAAGAACATTTGCTGTGCCATTACCTTGGCAAGAGAACCCGCAACCTCACAACTGTGGAATTCATTTAAAAGGTATGCTTATTGGTGAAACCATGTTAAACGTCGATGATTCACTGGGTAATAAAGATGATGCTTCTTATGTTTCATCAGATGATGGTTTCTTTGATAATCCAGAAGTACTTCGCTGTGCTTTTTCAGCTTCTGCTAAAAACTTACGTAACAGACACAAAGTGTGTAAGTGTGACAGATGTGAAAAAATCTTTCCCTCTTCATCCAAACTTCAAAGACACTATCTTATTCATACGGGACAGAAGCCCTTTGGCTGTAATGTTTGTGGGAAGACATTTAGACAGTCAGCTCACTTAAAAAGACATCAGCTCACCCATACTGAAAACAGACCCTATAAAAGCCCCATTTGCCAGGTAGAATTTGAAAACCTGAGCAAACTTTCCAGCCATCAGGGAGATCATGCTGAATTTAAGTCTTCTCAGCCTGTGGGTTATTCAGGTTCTTCTCAAAACTGTTCACAAGCATCTGGCTTTCAAGAATTTGAGCTGATTCAGTCAAAACAAGTGTCTGAAATCAAAGTTGAAATTGAGTCTGGGGGCTCTGTTCTTGACACCAGCAGTAGCAACACACAGCCATATCTGTGTAGTGAATTGTTCAAAGTGGAGGAAAGCTTTTACAACTACCGGCACAATTTTTCTGAAGGTACTGAAAAAAGTGAAGTTGTTAACAAATTGTATCAATGCAGTATCTGCTTTAAAGCTTTTAAATCACCTTCTAAGCTTGAAAGACATTACCTAATACATGCTGGACAGAAGCCGTTTGAATGTTTAGTTTGTGGTAAAAAATTCAGACAGGCCCCACATCTGAAAAGACATCACCTTACTCACTCTAAAGAGCGTCCAAAGCTGAGTTCCACTGAGCAACAACTGGAGAATATAATGTTTTTATGAAAACTGGATAATGTCCTCTGAAATGTTATGTTAAAATTTTTGGTTGCAAGATTATTAAAAAGCTTATGTTGGACCAAACAATTGACTGAAGGGGATTATCTTTTTCTGTTATGGAGATGACCTGGTGAAGAGTTAATTCACTGCCTGTAGAGCTGTCTTTCATATAATTTGTGATGAATGAAAAAGATGTTTAGAAAAAAAGCAACAGAAAAGCCACTTTTAATTTCTTTTCCTAAATTAATATATAAATACACATTCTTACTGTATTACTAGTGTTGTAGCAATCTGCAGTGCTATGTGAATCAGTTTAAAAGTTTTATCTTTCCTTGTGTAGTCTTTTAAGACATTATGCTGTCCAGTTACAACTATCAGAGGTAATTTCCAGAATACAGAAAAAATAGTCTTTTTCCTTCCTTCTGGCTCCCTATATGTTACAAAGGACTATTGCTGTATTTACTTCATACTTTTTTTTTTTTAAATGGCTATTTTTAGATAGCAAAAAAAGAAAGTAGAAAAAGGGGAAAATGTTTAATGAGAACAAAATGTTGATGTGGCACTAAAAATAGTTAATAGAAGAAATTTAACTGCTTTGTAATGTGCTTGGAGATCTATGGATGAGGAATAAGTTCTTTTCCCTTTTAATACTATAAGCAGACAATGCTAAAATAACAGGACTTATAAGCAGTTAATCCATTTCACCACTTAATTGCCTGTACTTCTTTGTGTATCCCTTGCCTTTTCTATTTTTTTTGGCCACTTCATACAATACTGAACTATTTTTCTGCAAGAGAAGGGGATGAGAAATTCACATACAAATGGGCTTTACTGTCTCTTCCAGTCTCCTTTCCTTCTTGTATATGTATTGTACCAGTAAAAGAAATGTCCTCTGAGATGGGATAATAACTCAGATAAGCAGTTATTTCAGGAAGTCATGTTCTCGTTACATTAAATATAGGAGACTGAAAATTACTTTTAGCTCAAATTAAGTAATTCTGATTTTGTATTAATAGAATCTGTAGTTACACTTTCTGGTAAGTAGAGAGCTTTGCTCGTTGTGCCTGTCGGGCTGGCAAAAAGCCTAAGTGCAGTGGAACTTTTCTCATTATGTACAACAGTGAAGTTTGTTTCCAGTAAGCAGGGACATCTTCAACTTGATCAGGTTGCTCAGAGCCCTGGCCAACCTCACCTGGAACATTTCCAGGGGTGGGCTATCCACCACCTCTCTGGGGAAACCTGGGCTAGGATCTCACCACCCTTTGTAAAAAATTTCTTCCATACCTCTAGTCCGAATCGCCTGTCTTTCAGTTGAAACCTGAAGTTGTTAATCCTATTTCTAAATTAATGTGTCTGTAAGATACGCGGCATTCTTTTCACTATTTAAATGCGTATTTCATAGAATCATAGAATGTCTGGGCTGGAAGGCACCTCCAAAGGTCATCTAGTCCAAGCCCCCTGCCATAACCAGGGAAATCTCCAACTCGATCAAGCTACTCAGAGCCTCATCCAGCCTGATCTTGGTCCAGGGATGGGGCCTCCACCTCCTGTCTGGGCAACCTATTCCAGTGGTGTACCACCCTCATACTGAAGAACTTCTCCTAATGTCTAACCTAAATCTGCCCTTTTCTAGCTTAAAGCCATTGCCCCTCGTCCTGTCACTACAAAACTTTGTGAACAGACCCTCCCCTGCTTTTTTGTAGGCCCATCTCGGGTACTGGAAGGTTGCTATAAGGTCCCCCCCAGAGCCTCCTCTTCCCCAGGCTGAACAACCCCAACTCCCTCAGCCTGTCCTCATAGGAGAGGGGTCCAGCCCTCTGATCATTTTTCTGGCTCTCATGTAGGTTTTGCTGCGGCATGAGCTCTGTAGCATTTGGTATAAATGAAGTGAAGGCTGAAGGAAGCTTTTATTTTATTTTTGTACAGGTTATTCTTTCCTATTTTCAGAGGGAATAAAACCAGAAAAGATACTCAGAAACAGTCTGTAGTTACTGTGATTTTTGAATGACAGACAAGTTCAGTATGTTAATAATGACTAGAGTTACATATTGAGATTTTTTTCTCCCTATGTGAATTGTTTCATATTGAAAGACAAAATACTGTATAAAATGTTTTGAAAGTGTATTGTAGAACTCTTTTCAAATACTTGTGATAAACTATTTTATTTATATTGTATTCTTATTGTATACTTTTTGTGCAAACCAGAGATTTGAAACTATATAACAGTCAATATGCAGAAAAATGTTTACATATCAAAATAACTAACTTTGCATGTTAGAACAATAGATTTTGTTTCAGATTTTTTTTTTTTTTGTTACAGAAATAAAATAGAAATATGTTTAAAGATAAGATTTTTCTTAAGGAGTCAATCATTTTAAAAAATGCTATGTTTGACAGTAACTAACTGTTCTCTAACAGAGAACACCGAAGTTGGTATTTTTGCAAATACCAATTTAAGTAAAACAAGGGGAAGGCAAAACAGAAAGCTACTTCTCAGGGATGAATATGACATATGTGGGAAGCATTACTGTCTGATTAATCTTGAAACTAATGTGATCTTTGGGCTCTGTGGGATTTCAGAGGGGCAGTAAGGGTTACTTTTTTCATCTGTCTCTCTTTTATGAAAAGTTTTGTGTCATAAATTTACGGGTTTAGGGGAATTATGGCATAAACTAACTAGGAAGGGGTACAGTGGTTTTTAAGTCAGGAGAAGAAAAAAATCAGAATTTTTTTTGAGTTAACACTAAAATTCTCCAAGTGCCTTTGAGAATTTGAGCTAGAATTGTGTGGTTCATCAGTATGTTAGTAATTTTCTGTAACACTTCAAGCAAGTTAACACCGTCAATCTTTGAAGTCTCTTTGGTGGCAGAGGCATTGCCTGTGCTTTTGTTAGAATGAGCTGATACCTAAACTCATAGTACTGAAGTAGTGGCTTTTTTAATTCTATATGCAGAACAAAAGCATATTGTAAACAGGAAAACAGTGGGTCCTCCTGTGTTGGTACTGAGCTCCCTCCAAGGAGAGCTTTTCAAACTGCATAGATTCAGCTTTGAGGTAGTTCGGTGTGAAATGAAAGAAGGGTCAAATACTTTCAAACAAGCAGAAAAAGATAAGATTTTTTTTAAAAAGACAAAGTATGCAATACTTAACTCACTGGAACTGCAGTACTAACTGATCACATCATTAAAAAGGAAAAAAAGCCATCATAAACTACAGAAAAACTTGTAGCTGCTTCTGACTGTGTGTTTGGTTTCTCATTTGCCTGTGATCTGCTCTCACTATTATTCTTGGAGCCAACAGGACAACTTAGGCAAATGGGAGATAGACACAAAACAAACTCCACTGGAGTCAGTGAAACCTTAGGCTTCAAACTGAGAAGTGGGATCTAATCTTTATTTTTTCTGTCTGCTTTCTAGTATAAATTTAAAACACTGAAAGACAATCTTGCAAGGTAGCCCTTGGTTAACTATGGTTGGATAATTCTTAAATCAATAAAGACTATGGATTTAGTCCTTCGAATGCACCCTTGTTGAGTGTTGAAAATGCCTGCATCTCCTAAGTAACAAAAAAAGGTTATGGTTCATATTCTTGCACAAGGTTTTGTGGATTTTTGAAGTGCAGGTTTTAACTCACCTATTTTTATGGTCTGATGGCTATAGATGAAACTTACCTGAGAAGCAGTTACCATAAGAAAGACTGAAATTACAGAAGTGACTGTCGTATGCTTTCATATACCTTGTCTTCTCTAGGTTGAGCAAATTAATTGTACTTCATATAATGACTAGTACCCTCAAACAGCTTTTAAACAGCATCTTTTTCAGCATCTGTTAAAAAACAAACAAACCAAACGTTAAAACTCCATGCAAGTGAAGGAGAAATCAGCCTTAAGCCAACAAAATTGCAAATAATAATTTGATAATTTCCTTGTTCAGAAACTGCTGTTCTAAAATAAAAGTGTCTTTATGTCACCCCTGAGTTATCATAAGATTTTCAATGCTGTTTTACTTCTGCACTCTGCCATTCCAATTGCTTTCTGCTTCCACGGTATGTTGATGAAGCATACTGCTTCATTCTGCTGCACACGTGACATAGGTGGGATACACAGCTGAAATTTTTGCTCTTCACTGGAGTCAGCCCCGTGTCCCTGGTCCCAGCCTGTAGAGATCCCCGGGAGCCCGTCCAGAGCTGTCGCGCACTACCACGGCATGGGAAACGGTGCCTGAGAAGGCCAGTGCGTGAAGGGGAGAGAAGCTGGGCAGCTATGATGTAAACCATGGCCTCTCATTCTCCACTGAAAGTGGTCAAGGTATGTAGGGTGGTAAGAGCATGTGGAAATGGTGGCTCTCTGGCTTTGCCTATGGCTGCTTCACCAGATGTGGCACTTAAATGTGCCTTGCTGACAGAGCGAGAGAGGGGAATTTAGAGAATTATGTGGCTGCTGCTATCTAAAAAAGTAAAGTTCTATTCCTAAGCTAGAGAAACCAGCTATGCATGGTGTCTCCCATTTATCCTGATAAACTTCTGTTGACATCAAGGAAAACACTTATCTTCCTGGGATGCAAATTTGCATTATTTCATCTGTGCATTTTTAAGAAGAGTATAACTTCTATCTTTTGGTATGTGCTTGCAAATGTAGCTTGCTGAGCTACAGAAGCTCACACAATTTCCTCAGTTTGTACTTAATTTTGATTCTAAGAGGAACCTGAAAATACAGCCAAGTGGCGAACCTCCTGTTAGTGACAATACAGTCCTACTAAACTGAGTAGAATTCTGCTAAGTCATGTAACACCTCAAGTGTATCAGTCAATATGAGGATCATTTTTAAGATCAAAACACGTTATGATTTTTTCATGACATTGAGAGCAACCTCGGATTAGTTTCATGGCAACCTTGTTTGCCATAGTGCACTTGATCTTGTATTTTATATTCTGGGTCTTAATAACAGCAGGTACTTGGCTAATGAGAATAGCTTCATAAGAGTTCCCTCAGGTGTTGAATAGTGTGTT